AGAAACAGAGCCAGGAGGAGGAGGAGGTGGTGGTGGTGGTGGTGGTGGTGGTGGTGGTGGTGGTGGTGGTGGTGCATGCCTTTAATCCCAGGACTTGGGAGGCTCACGCCTTTAGTCCCAGCACTAGGGAGGTGGAGACAGGAATATAAGGCGGGTGGAGACAGGATCTCCCGCTCATTCAGTCCGAGGATTCATAGCAACAGGACTCCTCATTCAGTCTGGGATTTCGTAGAGGTAAGAAGTCTCTGGTGGCTGCTGCTTTGCTTCTCTGATCTTTCAGCTTCCACCCTCGATATCTGAGTCCAGGTTTTTATTGTTAAGACTAGTTAAGATCGCACTTCCATCAAAGACTCATCCTTGGCTACAGAACCAGTTCAAGGCTGCTTATCAAGCTACGCCAATACTTGTCTCTGGTCATCTACATGACCTAGAGAGTCAAGCGGCCCAGTTACCTAAAACCCTGGGCAGAGGAGGGAGGAGGGTAGCGACAGAGGAGAAGAGGAGGCAGGGTGAGCTGCAACCGATGTATTGGAGGAAAACTGGCTGAAGCTCATAGTGCAGCATGTTAAGGGAGCTCCAGTGATCCTGCCGAGTAGTCCTATGGGAGAAAAAGGATTTTCATGCCCCCTTTAGACAACCACTGTTAATTCCTATTTTAAAGACAAGGACCTCGTGCCTGTAATCTGAATCCGAGAGGTGATGAGCATGCTGCTGACTTCTTTCTTGTGAACTGCTTCTTGTCATTGTCCTTCCTCAGTTGGAATCAACGACATCTGGAAAGATGCCTTTTATGTCACTAGGACGACAGGGATGAGCCCTGATGGACACCCCACCTCTCTGGTGATCAGCAAGCTCAGTCTGCGCTGGGCACTCATGGAAGGCCAGATGGTCCAGCTGGAGGAGACCACCCCTAAAATTGGCCGTGGGGAGCTGAGAAGATTCCTCTCCAGGATCAAGTTTGTTGATTCTCCCTACCAGGTGACTGGCTTCTGGGATGGTTGGTTAATTTTTAATTAAAAAGAATTTTACTACATTTATGTGTGTGGGCCCACACGCATGCTGACACGTGTCGAGATTGGCGGACAAGGGCCAAAGTTAATTTTCTTCTGTGTGGGTCCTGAGGATTGAGTCCAGGTTGTCAGGCATTAGGAAATGTGGGATTGTGGTTTTTAAAACATCCCAATGACTGGAGAGGGTAGACCTTTCTGGCATTTTCTGGGTAGGAACCAATGATGTTAATATCCGTGCAGATATGGTTTACAGAACCTACAGAACCTAGCAGTTATCTTGCTAAAAATGCCAGCCCTTTTCCCTGAAAAGTGCTTGGGCCAAGTTTGAAGTTGAAGAGTTTATCATTGAAAGGGCACAGGTCCCTGGGGCTCATAGACTGTTGGCGCTAAACTAGAGGACCGGGAAGTGAAACATTCTGATGTTTGGATTGCCCATTTCTTTGGGAATCCCATGTAAAGGGGGTAACAATGGTCATTTTCCCACAGATCTAGTGCAGTGGAATCCAGATTCAGAAGAACCATGCAGAGCGGCTCCTGTCCCTCCTGTCAGTTCTCTGGAGAGGTGACGACTTCAGGGTCATGCAGCACTTGGGGATCACTGCCCTCTGGCAGCCTGCTGGAGCTGTGTGATGCAGCATGATCTGCTTAGCTGGGATATCTCACGACCCTCCCATCCCTGCACTAACCCTCCTCCTGGGAACTCTGTGTGGATA